ATCATAGAATCTTTCAATATTGCAAATTGAGGGTTGAAGTTTTTTTCTTTAGTTCCCTCAACTTGAGAAATGTTGAACATGTTCTTCCCATTTGGTTTTCTAACTCCTGATCTTTGCACATTTCATTATAATATTTAACTTTGTCTTCTTGACCTGCCCTTGAAATTTTTTATTCAGCTCTTTTATCTCCTGATTTCTTCCATTTGTTTTAGCATCTCTATGCTCAAGAGCAAGTTTCAGAATCTCTTCTAATGTCCATTATGGTCTTTTTCTTCTTTCTTATTTTCTTAATGAACTTTTCCTTTCTCCCTGTACAATGTTCTTGATGTCATCCCTCAACTCTTCTGGTGTTCAGTCATTAGTGTCTAATTCATCTAACCTGTTCTTCAGATGATCTTTAAATTCAGGTGGAATATATTCAAAGTCATATTTTGGCTCTTGTGGACTTGCTTTAATTTTCTTCAGCTTCAGCCTGAACTTGCATATGAGAAATTGATGGTCTGTTCCATAGTCTGCCCCAGCCTTGTTTTAATAGATGATACGGAGCTTTTCCACTGTTTCTATCCACAAATGTAGTCAATTTGACTTTTGTGTATTCCATCTGATGAGGTCCATGTGTATAGTCATCTTTTATGTTGTTTAAAAGAGGTTATTTTCAATGAACAAATTATTGGTCTGGCAAAATTATATCATGCAATCTTCAGCATCATTTCTATTTTCCAACATCTGTTCTTTGTTTCTAACCTTTGCATGACAATCACCAGTAATTATCACTACATCTGATCAATTGCAGTCTGAAGAAGCTCTTGGAATTCTTCCATTTCATCATCATTAGCTTTAGTGGTTAGCGTGTAAGTTCGAGTAACAGTTGGATTAACTGGTCTTCCTTGTATGCATATAGATGTTATGCTAACACTGACAGTGTTGTACTTCAAGATAGATCTTTAAACATTTTTTTAAAAATTGAATGCAACCATTCCTCTTCAATTTTTCCTTCCTGGCATAGTAAACAATGTGATTGCCGGAATAAAAATGACCAATATTAGTCCATTTCAAATCATTAATGCCTAAAATATTGATGTTAATGCATTCCATTTCACTTTTGAGAACTTCCACTTATCCTAGGTTCATAGTTCATACATTTCATGTTCTGGTTTTTAATGGATGTTTACAGCTGTTTCTCCTCATTTTGAATGATGTCCCATCGGAAGACGGAGATCTGGGAAGCTTTACTTCATTTGAGTCATCACAGTTAACTCTATTTTGAGGTGGCAGCTCTTCTCCAGTCCTATTTTGAGATCTTTCCAACCAGATGGACTCATTTCCCAGCTCTATATCTGACAACATTCTGGTGCTCTTCATCATGTTTTAATATTCAGTATTCTAGTGCTATCTGACAGTATTCCGTTGCTATTCATAAGGTTTTCAGCGACTAAATATTTGGATTTAGTCTTTCTTCCTAGACTGCTTTAGTCTGGAAGCTCATCACTCCACCTACTCCTGCTTAATTTGGCACAAATTTATTTCTGTGCCAAGTTATAAAGAATCATTATAAACTTCTCTAATTAATCTACTATAAAAGCCCAGTTTTGAAAATTATATAATAATCATTTATACACATATTCAGCATCTATCAAGTACTGGGTTCATATAAGGCACTATGAATATTACAGTAAATATAAGAAGACACTGGCCTTGAAAATCAGAAGCTCTTTCTGGAATTGATCTGGTAATCAATGTCTGGATGGCAAAGATCACCAAAATTTAACTTTTTAGGTATATATTTTTAATGATTTTCATTTTCAAATGCTCTAAGAAAAGAATGGGGTCCTGGTGTGGTACTTTAGGGTAAGCACCAGACCCACAAGGTTGGTTTGAACTGAAAGAGTGATGACACAGACTCAACAGTACCTCCTTAGAACCCCTATACAAAGTGCCACTGGTTGGCACTTAACAACAACAACATAAGAATAAACAGAATAATAGGGTATAAGATTAAATTAAAGGGACCTAAGTGGTGCAGTGATTAAGTTGTTGTTGTGAAGTGCTGTCGAGTCGGTTCTGACCCATAGCGACCCTGTATAGGATTTCCGAGGAGCAGCTGGTGAGCTTGAACTGCCAACCTTGCAGTTCAAACAGCTTTGCCGTCTGGCGCATTAACCCACAGCGCCACACCAGGACTCAGCTGCTAAACACAAGGTCAACATTTTAAACCCATCAGTTGCACTGCTAGACAAGTAGCAATGTGCTTCAAGAAAGCCTACAGTCTTGGTAACCCTATAGGGCTGTTCTGTTCTGACCCATTGGGTTGCTATGACTTAGAATCTACTCGATGGCAGTGGGGTTTTGGCTTAAATATACATATTCATACTTAGACAAAGCCCAACATATAAAATATATTAATATTAAAATATTAGTAACTACAGACTGTTGTTGTTAGTGCCATTCAGTTGGTATAGACTTATAGCAACCCTGTGGCTTGCAGTTCAAACTGACTTCACAGTCCAGGGCTTAACTTATAGCTCCACATGGTAGCGGTGGTTATGTGCCGTGGAATTGGTTCCGACTCATAGCAGTACTGTATAGGGTTTCCGAGGCTGTAAATCTTTACGGGAGCAGAAAGCCTCATCTTTCTCCTATGGAACAGCTGGTAGTTTTGAACTGCTGACCTTGTGGTTCGCAGCCCGATTTGTAACCCCTACATTATCAGAACTCCTTATAGCACCACATCGAATTAAATGTAATTCAAGCTGGAATGAGTAATCATAATATAGTCCAAACTATTGCACATGATTTGCAAATAACTGAATAAACATTAACTTAGATTTATTTTTGCCAAACATAATTCACCAAAATTTACAAAGCTTGATTGCATATGAATACTCACCCTTAATTTGTCATAATAGCAGTCATTTGTTGCTTCAATGTTCATCTCCAAAATTCTACCATGAATAACTTGAGAGTCATTCACATTTACTATCCATTGATAATTGCAGTTATGGGGGTAATTTCCAGGCCATAAGGGAGAGGCAATTTTCCCATGAGATCCCACAATATTGTCATTGCCAAATACTAGGAGTGAAAACAGAGTAGTAAATCAGACCTACTTAGAACAGCTCTTTAAACAAATGAAAGAAACAAAAGGAAGGGATGCTGAATAGGATAGGCTTTTAATTGACTGTGATTTCTTTCCTGGACACTGAAAGAAATACTACTTCCCTTTTGGCTTCTGTGCTATCTATTAATTCCTTGGAGAAGGGTAATTTTGTGAATGGAATTCTATATCCTCAGAAGGTTGCATGGTGTGAAAGGAGGCAAAGTCTTCCCATGTAAAACAGATCAAAAAAAAAAGAAAGAAAGAAATCTGGTTCCAAAATCCCAGGGGTTATGGGACATAATATGGGAAGGGTACCTGCATCTTTATCAGACTTTGATTTACCTAGTCTACCTTGTTTTACAAGTGAAATATGTTTTTAAAAATTCTATAAGATATGAAAACCAACAGTTGAGCACCACTTACAGAATAGCGTACTATGAAACAGTTGAGTAAGATAAAAATACTTAGCATTTTATGTTATTAGATGAATATCCCATTGTTTAGATATATGAACTGGTAAATCAATCCTAAAATTATACTCAATATCCTTAATTTAAAGAATAAAGTACTTACAATGTATGGGATTAAATGGGACAAGTTTTATATAAAAAGACCAAATCCTATAGTAAATATACCAGTAGACTCTTGAGCAAAACATCACACACAAAAAAATTAATTCAACAGGAGGTAGAAACTAGAACTTATGAGAACCAGAGAGAATGCTATACCTTTATCTTAATGAGCCACTCATATAATTTATCTGATATTTTATAATAAAATAATTCTATATAGACAGTGCATACAGGTGAAACATTTAACAGTACACATAGTTCTTCCTAGGTGCACTGCTGACAATCTGCTCTCATTTCCCATTTATAGAACACAATCTGGAGACTATCTCTAAAAGAGAACCAACTTACTGTTAATAAATGTGGCCTGAAAGCCCATGCCACTGCCCGAGCCATCTGAGACAAATCTGACCCACAGGATATGCCCAACAATGGATGAATAATTGAGAGGGAGAATGTGGCCACAGTATCGTCCCACCAAGTGACCTGTGGCATTTCCTTCCCGGATCTCCACAAAATCTTTGCTACAGTCCTGAGATTCCTCCAATTGGAAAGTTCTGAATTGGAAAAAACAAAACAAAACTTAGGGGAATTCAATTTACAGAATATGTTTCAGGATTATATTAACTTAAACAAAACACACACACAAAACCAACTATAACATTGATGATAATATCCTTTAACTACCTCAAAAAATGTCTTTCCCGGAAATGTGTTCAATACCTACTCAACAAATACAAGGGCAATGCAATGCTTTTAAGAGTTTTCTTTCAAGTGGAAAAAATTGGGCAAGAATATACAGATCATGATAAGGCAAACTATCTTAGGTGCCATTAGAACTAAGAATTGGCATAAAAATTCAGAGGCAGAGATATGACATCCAATTGTGAGGTTCAGTAATAGCTTGATGGAGATATTTCCTTAGAAATATAAATAGTACCTGTATAAGGAAAAGAGGTAGCAGGCTGAGAATGCATCCTGGCAAAGGCACATGTGTGGAAAAGGGTAGAAAATGTATAGAAACTCACGAGAAGCTGAGTTTCCTTGGAACATGTTTTTCTCTAAGAAACCATTAAGAGCTGTAACTGGAGAAGTATAATGGGGTCATTTTATGGAATCAAATGGTACAAATGGACCTTAAAGGCAATGCAAAGTTATGTGTAGTTAATTCTGTTGCTGTTAGGTTCAACAGAATGAAAACCTGCCCAGTCTTGCACCATCCCCCAAATCATTGTTTTGTTTGAGCCCATGGTTGTAGCCAATGTGTCAAGGGGGTTCCTCTTTTTCACTTTATCAGGCATGATGTACTTCTCCAGAGACAAATCTCTCCAAATGGCATGAACAAAGTACATGAGACAAAGTCGTGCCATCCTCGCTTCTAAGAGTATTCTGGGTATACTTCTTGCAACAAAGATGCCTTTATTGTTCTGGAAATCCATAATATATTTAATATCCAGGACCAGACCAAATTTCTTCTTCTTTGGTATTTCATATTCATTGTCCAGCTTTCGCGTGCATTAGGGGTTGTTGAAAATAACATGGCCTAAGTCAGGTGCGCCTTAGTCTGCAAAGTGACATATTTGCTTTTTAACACTTTAAAGAGGTGGCTTGTAAAAGACTTGCCTATGCAATACATGGTTTGATTTCTTGACTGCTGCTTCCATAAGCATTGATTGTGGAGCCAAGTAAAATGAAATCCTTGACAATTCCAAACACATTTTCTCCATTTTCATGATATTGTTTATTGGGCCAGTTATGAGGAGTTTTGCTTTATTTATTTCGAAGTGTAACCCATGAAAATGGGTTTTTGACTTTAAGATACATATTCATACTTAGACAAAGCCCAGCATGTAAACTACAATAATGCTAAACCTCTTAATAAATACAGAATAGAAGATAATAAGTATAATTCCAGAATTAATTTTGTTTATGCAAGTGTAATACATACTGAAGGCTGTGGTTTATTATCTTAATCAGCAAGTGTTTCAAGTCCTCTTCACTTTCAGCAAGTGAGGTTGGGTCAAAGGCATATTGCAGACTTTTAATGAGTTTTCCCCCAATCCTGATGCCACATCCTTCTTCACATAGTCCAGCTTCTTGAAATATTTACTCAACAAACAGACTGAATAAGTTTGGTTAAGGATACAACCCTGACACACACCTTTTTCTGATTTTAAGCCATACCGTATCCCTTTGTTCTTGGTCTATGAATAGGTTTTACAATGTGCACAATTAGTCTGGAATTCCCATTCTTTGCAACGTTATTCATAATTTGTTATGATCCATACAGTTGATTGCCTTTGTATAGTCAATATAAAACACAAATAAACATTTTTCTGATACTCTCTGCTTTCAGCCAAGACCCAGCTGACATTCTCTTCTGAATTCACATTCTCTTCTGAATCCGGCTTGAATTTCTGTCATTTCCTTGTCAGTGTACTACTACAACCATTTATAAAATTGTGTTCAGCAAAAATTTACTTATATCCAGAAATTTAAATTAATGATACTGTTTAATAATTTCCACAATCCACTGGATTACCTTTTTTAGGAATGGAAAGGTAGAAAAATGATAGAAATTGTAATAATACAGACTAGTGTTAAAATCCCATTTCATGCCACTTTTAAGCTATAATAAGGTGGCTTGTTCAAGTTGTCTTATATTCTGCAAGTCTGACATGATAGATATAGTATTATCTCATAGGATTATCATATATAGAGTTTGAAACATGTTGGTGCTAATAAATGCTTTTTAAACTTGGCCTTTAAAAAAACAATTTGGAGCTAATCAAGATAGTATGTTATTGGTGTAAGAATAAGCAAATGGATCACTGGAGTAGAAAAGAAACTTCTGAAAGGGACCCAACATATATTTGGTGGTGCTGGTGGGGTGCCCTGGAGTCGATCCCAACTCATAGCGACCCTATGTAGGGTTTCTGAGGCTGTAAATCTTTATAGGAGCAGAAAGCCTCATCTTTCTCCTGTAGAATGACTGGTAGTTTCTAACTGCTGACCTTGAGGTTAGCAGTCCAACTTATAACCACTATGCTATCAGAGCTCTTTAACATATATATCTATATAATCTATATATCCATATATCTCTGGTAGTGTAGTGGTTACGAATCGGGCTGCAAACCGTAAGGTCAGCAGTTCGAAACTACCAGCTGTTCCATGGGAGAAAGATGAGGCTTTCTGCTCCCGTAAAGATTTACAGCTTTGGAAACCCTGTACAGGGTCGCTATGAGTCAGAACCGACTCCACGGCACATAACCAACCAACCAATATATCACTATCTATGATATCTATCTATATCTATCTATATCTATATATATTGTCAAGTGATTTTTTTCATACTAAGTGCCAAAATGATTCAATGGGAAAAACAAAAAAACGGTGCTGCAATACTTGACCTCCATAAGGATGTCACCCCCTATCTCTCTCCATGTTGTTACTGTTAAGTGCAATTGAGTTGATTCCAGCTAATAATGATCCTGCATAGAGCTTCCAAGGAGCTGCAGGTGGGTTCGAACCGCTGACCTTATGACCAACAGTCTAGTGCTTATCCAACAGCACCACACCAGGGCTCCCACCATAAACAGAAATTACTTCAATATTATTCATAGATCTAACCATAAAGGCTTCATTATAAAACTAGGCAAAAATATCAAAGAATATCTTTGTACCTTATGGTAGCCAAAAATTTCCTAAATACAATGAATTAGATAAAAGATACATAAGATTAAAAATTAATAAGCATACTTATTAATAATTGTACTTACAAATTAATTATTAATTATTCGAGAGAATAATTAACGATTAATTTATAAATATACTTGATAACTATATTGTCAGACAGCATCATAAGGATTAGAACTGTTGTTGTTGTTGTTGTTGTTAAGTGCCAATGAATTGGTTCCAACCCATAGCGACCTGTATAAAATTTCTGAGGTGATGCTGGTGCACTTGACCTGCCACCTTGTGGTTCAAACCAACTTTGCAGTTCATAGATTAGGAAACAGAAAATAGACAATGTCTTTCCCTTCAGAGATCTTATATTTTAAAAAAGCAAAATATATAATAAACAAATAAATAGATGGAGTATCAGGTAATAAAATAGGAATAAAGAATTGATACATTTAAATTGTGGTATTGTGCATATACTGTGGACTACCGGAACAAACAAATCAGTCTTAGAAGAAATAATATCAGGATGTTCCTTAGAATTGAGGGTGGTATGACATGCACTCAGTTATTCAGACACAAGTCATCAGGGAAGACCACTCACTACAAAAGGACATCATATTTGGTAAAAGAGAAGGTCCGCAAAACAAGGGAAACCCTCAATGAGATAGATTGACACAACAGCCGCAGAAATGGACTGCAGTATGCCAAAAATCATGCAGATGAAGCAAAACTGGGCATGCTTTCTTCTGTTAAATATGACTCAGAGTTGCCTCAACAACAGTTAACAGTGAAAAGCAGTAAGATGAAAAATAAAACGGGATACCAAACCAAACTTATTTCTGTTGAGAAAATTTGAATTGTAGTGAATCTGAAGAGCAAAGATGTCAGTTTGAGGACTGAGGTGCGCCTGACCCAAGCCATGGTATTTTCAATAACCTCATATGGATTCGAAAGCTGGACAGTGAATAAGGAAGATCGTAGAAGAATTGATGCCTTTGAGTTGTGGTGTTAGAGGAGAATACTAAAAGTGCCATGGACTGCCAAAAGAACCAATAGATCTGTTTTGGAAGAAGTGCAGCCAGAGTGCTCCTTGGAGGCCAGCATGGCTAAACTTCGTCTCTCATACTTTGGACATATTGTCAGGAGGGAACAGTCGCTGGAGAAGGATATCATGCTGGGTAAGATGGAGGGTCAAAGATAAAGAGGAAGACCCCTAACGAGATGAATTGGTCAGGTGGCATCACTGATGGTGTCAAGTGTGGCAGTGGTAGTGAGGTTGGCCCGGGATCGGACATTGTTTCATTCTGCTGTGCATGGAGTCGCTATAAGTCGGTTCCGACTCAATGGCACCTGAAAACAACAACAACTGCAATAGAACAGAGAAGATCGGCTCCATAGGGTTTTCGAGGCTACATAGCTTTTTGGAAGGAAACTGCCTCATCCTTTCACCTGTGGAATAGCTGGTGGATTAGAAGCCCAATGCTTAATCCACTGTGCCACAAGGGCTTCTTAAAATAGAATATGGGAGTGTTATTTAAGATAGAGTGGTCATGAGACCTCTGAGAACTCCAGTTCAGTTATATCATCAACAAAAGGTTATCTGGTGTTGTAAACGTTTAAGTGTTCAGCTGCTAACCAAAAGGTTAGGGATTCAAAAGAACCCAGTGGCTCCATGGAATCTGCTACTGTGAAGATTGTTGTTGTTATTGTTGGGGACCGTAAATTGGTTCCAATTCATAACAACCCCAGGTACAACAGAACAAAATACTACCCAGTTCTGTGCAATTCCCACAATCATTGCTACACTTGAGCCCACTGCTGCTGTTACCGGATTTTTCTCTTTTTCACTGACTCTATATTTTACCAAAAATGA